TGTATCATAATTACAGTCCACTAATAGGTTTTTACCTGGTTAAAAATGCTTGCTCCTGTCAAGTTTTGAAAAAGCATTAACATGACCACGTTTGGACATGCAGTGGTACCTCTACTTACGAAATTAATTGGTTCTGGAAGAAATTTCTTAACTATAGTGAGCGATCGCCCGACTGGTGAACACTTTTTCTGTATGATTCACATTTACGTAAAACTATCAGAACACCTCATGGCTCGAGGGACGAATGAGGAGGACGTTGCATCGACACATATCGATCTATCGAAACAAACTGTAGAGGTCCCTCTTAGCCAATGGGATGCCAGGAAGATGGTAATAGCCATTGGCAGAGCAGCTCGAAGTATGTTGCATTCAGGAAACTCGGAGCTGCGACTGGCAGTCTTTTTACCTTTCATATCTTGAAATTTCTTTTGTAACAACAGGCAATATTTTCCTGTTGAGGCATTTCGTAACTTGAAAATTTCGTATGAAGAGACGTTCGTAAATAGAGGTACCACTGTGCAGGGTTTTCGCCCAGCAGCAAGGATATGTGCCGTGTGATTGCCTTGTGACCAGTCAGGGACGTACCCGGCCTCTCGCAAAAAAATCAAATGGGATCAGCTCCAGCTCACCTGGGACCCTCAGGAGGATTACGAATACTGTATACAGAATGGATGGATTCATAATTTACAGTGGTGCCTTGTTGCATTAAACACAGATAAAACAGAGTTATGGTGGGAAATGGACTCACTCTAGAATGTAAATTTGTCTCTTTTAATTATCTGTGCATTTACCTTAAATGTAAATGGTTGTAAATGATACAAATTGCGCCTTTAATTAATGATTCTGGAGGCTGTAACCCTAATTACCTAAAACCCTCAGTCAGTATTTCCTGGCCAACTTAATAACTCCCCCTTTTGTGTCGTGCCTGGGAATAGTGGCCATTTGATTGGTTTGGAATGGCTTTCGTGTCACCAGCGTGGTTAATTGCTGCTCTGAAATCATTTTAATAAGAACAAATACCCTCGGGTAGTATCTCTATCTGTCTGCAGATATATTGAGGGGAAAGAGATTGGGACTCTCCAATTAATGAGGTATACAGTGACCCCTCTATCTAATTACCGTCCCTGATTACATGTTACAATTATAGAATTCCAGGGCTACCAAAAGGCTGTTCACAAATTAACATGGCAAAAAGAGAAAACGAAAGAGATTGAGAACGCTCAATTCACTTCCTTTGGTGTTCTTGCCAAACCTTCTATCACTTTAATGAACAGATAATCCATGCTTGATAAATACATTCAAGATTCGTCTGGCAACTTCGGATACACATTAGTTTTTGTAACTAACGACCAATCAATTGCCGGTTTGCGAGACAGACTTTTTACAGCCCGACCGGGAAAGACTGAGCAGGTGTGTACGTAGCCATGGAATGCAGGATTTGAAAGTGAATTATTTTGATCCGATCTAATAAGTGTGTTTCAATTCAAAAGTTGATTTTTAGTGACATTCTGATGATCTGCGGCATGTTTTGAAACCTGAAACCTGAAAGTGAACTCATCCCCGGCTAGCTTATGAAAAGATCCTGAGCTCAGTGGAAATGTCCTCCAAAGTTCAATATGAAGCTGTAGAAGAGGGAGCTTATGGTTCATTTCCTGTTTATTAGTCGTACCGTTTGGCCGACTGGATGGAGGGCAGCGCGGAATCTGAAGTAAATGGACAGACTGGCAGGAACAGTCTGACAAAGTATAAATCTCAGCTAGACATGAAAAAAAAAATCCATCTGTGTGTATTTGTTCATTGAGAGACGACTCCAACCGCAGATGTGCGCTCCATAAAAGATTGCAATACCACAGCAATGCATTTCCTCGGGGGAATCAGAAACATTTTAAGATACATTCAATATATCATGGTTTTGAGAAGTGTTATTTCCACTTGCAATTTGGTCCGGATTTGGCCTTGGCAGAGGGCTGCATAAACAAGTATTCAATTCCTTGCATCTTTTAACAACTTTTCTACAATGCCGATACAATTTAATTAAAAAAAAAAAAGACTATTCATACTATATTTAAGGACATTTTCACTGAAAAACTCGCTTTATCCTACAATGCCGATACAATTTCATTAAAAAAAAAAAAAAAAAAAACTATTCCTACTGTATTTAAGGACATTTTCACTGAAAAACTCGCTTTATGTGTTTTTTATTGAACAAGAAAAGGATAGTCTCTTGCATTTTCAATTTTATCAATTTGTTTTGTGGAGGTCTGTAAAAACAACCGACTCTCAAAACACCCCTCTCTGCTCAAAAGTACGGCCCCACCACCACCCTTGTCCGTATGTTTGGTGGAAGTCAAGAGAGAAACCGTTTCTAGTTTCCCAGTTCAACTTCTGAAAGTATCAGAATGATTAGTCTCTCCATGGCTCACTTATGAGTGCGCGAGGAAAGCTTCCATCCAGTTTCTCTCAAGCCAGATCTGTTTCTTTGATAAGACACCAAGATATCAACACATTGCTTTCCAGAGGCTTTTTGGTATGACAGCGGTTATTGAAAAATAGAAATTTCAAGGACAAATACAAGGACATAAAGACAGGCAGCAAATGAAATATTTGGACTGAGCCACACCCTGAATTGAAGCAAAGACTGAACCCAGCATTGAATTGTGACTGAGGGAGTTTTTAACAGTGCATCTGGGAAACTTTTGTATCGGATTTATGATTAGAAAATCATTCAAATTGTTGGAGTGACTTCAGTTATTTGTCAAGTTAATACATTCTGCATCAACAATGAAAGTGTCTTTTAGCATTTTTGTAGGGCTCGATGAGAGCGACGTGCAGGACAGGAACCCGTTTCCTTTCAGTCACGCTCCAGAGCTTCCCGGAGATTGATCAGTATCAGTCATCCACCTGACAGCTACAGGATTGAATCTCATTCAGTGAGCTTGGCAATTTGGGACTGGGTGAACAACAACAGACAAAGTGAGGAGAGAGGGAAGAGATTGGGAAACGGTGACCGAAAGAATGGAGAGAAGCAAGGATCGTTGATAACACATCCAAGAATTGCATCGGTCTGCTTGCTGCAGTAAAGAAATACACAAACAAACTGAGTTTATCTGTAAAAACTAACCTCACATTTAGGAATTTATGGCTTGTTCAGTTTTGCCCGAGTTCGATGCCCCACTGCGTTCCTCTTTGCCTTTACATACTGCCTGCTAACGTGAACATAAGACAGGGGTACTCAAAGCCATTTTGCGGACCATTTCTGGGTTGGGTTGATCACTTCTTGTTAGCATATAAACATTACACCGGACGTGCTAACCAGTGCCGCCAAGTCTAAACATGGTATTCAAATTAATGTTGCATTTGTGGAAGATGAATTAAGTGACAAAATCCACCCGTTCTTGTCCATCTCAGGTGGCAGCCATTTTGACACTTGCTGTCCACGGATCATAGTCGCTCAGGGTTCGGGTAGCGGCCAATCACGACTCACCTGTTTTCTGATTTTGGTCATGTGACGTTCACAAGATTTGATCTGGGCCCTGAGTAACCGTGATGTCATTTTGTACTTGTCTTCCACTTGAAGCAGGCCCATATTTCACACGGAGTTAGTCAGTTTGTGAATGAAGTCAGACAAGCGCAACATTAATTCAGTCGTCATGCTTTTTTGGTAATGTGCCATGAGATTTTTGTTTGGGGAAATAAAATGCTCAATAAAATGCTGACTAAAGGAGGTCAAAATGTATATTCTTGCAAATACATTTTGAATGTCTGTTCCGAATGTGCTAAAGTTATCCAATGAACATAACATCCCGATTGTATGGACATGCAATGAAGGAAAGATGTCAGAGCGAGGGAGATACACAATGAGGATCTTGGATAATTGGGTGTTCAGTGCCTGGCTCAAGGTCACATCCACAGTGCCAAGGAAGAGAACAAGCAGCCCTCTGAGAACAATTCTGATTTCCATTCGGCCATTTATTGTTCTTCAAGCTACAATAAGTCCTTACAAATGGAACTGCTGGTAATGTCCCCATAAATACAATGGGATGTTGAATGAACTGTTTCTGGTCAATGAGCAACAAATTCAATGAAGTGTTTTACGCCATTCATTTAAATAACGACAGCAAATAAACCACAAATCTCAATGAAATTAAATGCAGTTGAATACGTATATTTCATACTGAGACTTTAATAATCCCTTTGGCGAATAAACTTCTTCATGGTGCAACGTATGATCCCATTCCCACGCACGCATCATTTGATCCACTGCACAACATGGGGAAAAAAAAGGAGAGATATCAGGTGACTGGTAAGGCGGTCCAGAGCAGTGTGAGGGTTTGATGCCTTGCTCAAGAGCAGGTGGACAGCGCAAAGAAAGTAAACATCAAGAACCGACTTGAACGAGTCATTCCTATTTTATTTTTGATCTGCTCAGCAGCACAATTGCTCTTTACCAGTCTCCTCTCCTCGTCCCGCCAAAGCCTCCCACCTCCCAACCACGATGAAACTCAACAAAAGTCAACATATGGGGACTATATAGCAGAACGAGGTAATCAATGCACTGCACGATGCCTGTTAAGCCCCTCGTATCCTATTCTCATGCATTACTGGCCCTTCTCCTTCATTACCTATTCAACCTCTCTGGTTCGCCGCATGGCTAATCCTTTCTTAAGCTTGCCATTCTTCTTTCACTATCCACACCATTTTAGTTTTCTATCTATTCCACCAATCTTACACTACTATTCCACCGCAAAACCCAATTTTACTTAACTAACTCCCACAGCTGTAGCTCTACAGTGCGCCTTTGACGGACTATGATTACAACTGAAGCAATTCCAAACGTGGCCTGATCAATACCAATTTGTTGCCCTCATTTCGGCCAGTGGGCATGATGGCTCAGGAAAGGGATGCCAAGTAGTACTCACATCTGTCTTGAGATTACCATCGTGTGTGTGTGTGTGTGTGTGTGTGTGTGTGTGTGTGTGTGTGTGTGTGTGTGTGTGTGTGTGTGTGTGTGTGTAACTGCAGCAACATGTAACTATTGATTGGACCATTACCTCACAACTGAATCCAACCCAAACCACAAAACAAAGCATTTTTTTCAGCAAATAAAAGTGAACAGGCTCCGAAATAAATCCAAGAAGTTGGCCTCGGTCATCAGCAGACATCTGGACAGGGTTAGCGTAGGTGGGGATGGCGGTTTGTTAAAATGTGTCACAAAGCCAGTCCGGGGTGTTCACAGTCAGTGTCAGCTGGGATAGGCTCCGGCCCACAATCTTAAAGCGAATACAGTATGATTATTGTAAGTGACAAGTCGTGATTAAAGTCCCACGTTTGTGGAAGCTGAGCGCAAATGCATAACACTGAACTGTTGAAGGGCAGAAAGCAGTTTCATATCTTAAAGAGAGTCAAGATCCCATGTCTGTGTCTGGCTGTGTCTAAGACGTAATTGATAACACAAGCAGGTGGCTGGGTCGGCAGGAGAGGATGGCTGGAGATTTGTACAGATCGTGACCATCTGACAGAAGCTGGCAACAGAAGAGTCTTCTTTTAGCACGAGTGAGTACTTTATTTCAGGCATGTGGAGAATCCAAATAAGTTGCACAGAGAAATACGTCACTTTTTTTTTTTTTTTTTTTTTAACCAAATTAACTAGCTCGAAGTTTTCAGAGTGCATGTTGCTCATGAATTAACTCACCAGCCCATTGCTGGAGCACGATTATGGTATGGCCATAATACCTCCTCTAGTTTGCAGGAATTCTTTGAGAAAAATATGGAGTAAAGAACTCTGCCTTCACCTCCCTGCAATCATCGAACTTTTCAGACACACCCTGTTAAGTAATTTGTTTTTGAAAAAAAAAAAAAAAAGAAAAATGTGTTGTTTATACCAGAGCTACACATCTACGGCATAATTGCCGTGCAATGTGTTTGAGCATGAGTTTTGACTCTTTATTTTCATCGAGAAAGAGGTTTCCACATGGCCGCCCCATGTTTGAAAGGAAGTTCTGGAAAGTGACATTTCACACTGTGTTCACAATCTGCTCCACAAAGACGTGTCATGTGATCATGTGATGTTTTTATCACAGACTTATGCGCACACTCTTACATGATCACACCACACAATGCACAAGACTATCATCAACTCCTTGTCGTCAGCTGTCCCTCAACCCCACTTTTCTTCCTCCAGTGATCGCCCAGGTGTTCTGAAGAAGTGCAGCGCTCCTTAAAATGCTGCCTCCCAGTGTGTTACGTCTGCCTCCGTAGCCTCTGCATTCTCACATTTGCACATATTGCTCCTCTTCATTTGGCTGTCGCGGAGCTTGTTCCAATCCCAGACTGTGTTCCCCTCCCTTGTAGTCTGGGACTTGTTTTTTTTTTTTCCCCCCTTTGCCCTTCCCCAAGTTTTTTGTTTTCATTTAAGAAAATCGGTGCACCCTTTTGGTGACCCGCAAGCCTCCTCTATTCTGTCTTCCTGTATTGGTCATTTTTAAATCTCTTGAGCGGCTTATTTGGTCTTTTGTAAACGTTATAGCAAATAAAATTGGGCCCTGTTCAGTGTTGCCTGTGAATTGTGAATAATTCATTTCATGATTTATTCATGTATTCATTACGCGTCTTTTTTTTATTGTAATAGCAGAAAGCGGATTACAATGGCAAGAATGCTAAAATTGAAATGTGACACTCTCAGCCATCACTCAAGTGAGATCGCATCTTTCGAGGAGTTGCTGATCAGCCACCTTTGACTCGCCATTGCTTTGATAATTAGATTTATTCAAATCAATACTGTTTTATTATGTGTCATAGATTTTAGGATGTACAAGACCTTCCCTCTCACCCCAAGTAGAAGGCTCGTCAGTTTATGTCATAAAATGCCAAAGATGAAAATGAGTATCGTTATTACAGGAACATCCCTCTTCAGCAGTGATAGACAAGTATCTTAATTTTTCACGAATTACACGTAATTTATTACACGATTTGCTGATATCCACGCTGAAAAGTTCATTTATTCATTAAGCGCTGTAGATAGCAGATAGATTGAAATTTCTTGTGTTCAAACACATAGTTTCCCGGGCCACATAAAATGATGTGGCGGGCCAGATCTGGCCCCCGGGCCTTGAGTTTAACACCTGTGTATTAAGTGTATCAAAGAACACTTAACTGAACATAACTGTACATCTTGAAATTACACACAGGCTGGGGAGTCTCGGAATACAAGTAACGGCGTGACATTTCATAAAAATATGGGTTATTTTAAAAAATGACTGTAATTCTAAGTGACTTTAAAATATTCTTTTCATTACTGTTGGTGTTATTAGCATTGTCTTGAACACTTGTCATATACATTGCTGCATCGGCTGAGCCCACATTTTCATTTCAGTCGTGCCACTACCATATGGTGCTTCTTGAGATGAAATTGCAACATCTTTCTACGCAGTCCCGCCCCTCCCCCCGACACACACAGAGGCAATAATAACACACACCTTACAATAGTGGTCTCTGCAGGTTCGAGGAATCCACGCTGTTCATCAGTGCTCACAATCTGTTGCTGGTTCAGGCCTCCCACCCGACTGTTCAGTTCAGACTACAGACCTGAACACGAGTGTCACAAAAAGCACGTCAGACAAATGCAATGCGTTTCGATAGAAGTTCGAAACATCATATAATTACATGTTCTTTTCACACGAAAGCCTTAGCATAATGCATCACACCAAAGCATGTCATGTCTCGTTGGCTACAAGAATTAAACATTTGTTGGCTACTAAAAACAACACAGCCCTGATGAACCTGAAATTGAGATAATCAGCATTTTATGGGCCAGATGTGGCCGAGTGGTTAAGATTGACACCTGCGACAGTGGGGTCCACGGTTCAAGACCTTCCACTCCCAACAACACATGACAGTGGTGCATCAGGATTCACTCACGCATCCGAGCATGACACGTGAATGTCAATGTCACACCTTCCTTCAATCTGTTAGATGTTCAGATGCTGTTGTTGTTGGCTATGTCATCCCAGTAGAGTAGAAAAAAAGTGATTGACGTCCTCCAAAGTAGGAATTTGGAGCGAGGAATCTGATCATACAGAATCATACATAATAATTCTGTATTAGGCATCACTTCAAAAACTGCACTATTTTCTCAAGCAGGACAAAAATAAATCGAAATGATATCAATATAAATCATTGTTAAGGATGTATTGACAGTGGAAGTGGTTGCATGGCCAATTTGTTTTTCAATTCAAACAAAGGGGACTTTGCTTTTGATTGTTCTGAGCCAGTGACAACTACCGCGACAGCGCCGATTTCCTTTCAATGAAAATTTGACATTTTCGAGCATTCTAAATTAGCAATCAAACAAAATTTTGAAATGGTGATGTGAGTCGTAATAGGTGCTGGCAAGATTATACGAACTCGTACAAACAGTGTTGGGAACCAAAGCGAGATGGTGTTTTTTTTGTTTTGTTTTGTTTTTTTCCTGAAAAGTATGGATAAAAGCAGTGGGTAGTGGCTTGTTAAAAGGATTAGACCCAACTGTGACAAAATAATACAGCACACATATCCATAAGAAATACTTCACAGTTTTTGCTAAACAGGCCGTAGATGAGCACGACTTCATTTTATTCTCAGAGAATACAAAACAGTAATATTTTCAGTGCTTTTACACCGTGTATGTCTCTGAACACCAGAAATGGATGATTTCCATTTTGTGTCATCATCCTTTTTATACCCTTGATCTCCTTGTTTCCTCGCCTCATACATTACACAGCTATGTGGTTTTTATGTTTGTCCCCATGGCCACAAGCATAGATTTATCATTCTTTCGTCAAGCAGCATACTCCAAGTCCTATTAGACAAAAGCGCGGCTTCCTATACCCCCCCCCCCCATCTCACTAGGCACAACCAAGTTGCAGCACATGGTCTCATGTAAATCCCCATGAGGTTACAATAGTACTATACACCCCCACTCCATCAACCTTACGTCATAATATTATTGACCACATGAGAGACAAGAGGTGCTCGGTAATTATCTGCATGCATCATAAGCATGACTATTGCACAGGCCAGGGGAGAGCCGCTCGCTCTGCGGAGATAATGAACGAACAAATGAAAGGCAGAAATGTAAAGCCAAGATTGAGACGCAAAGCAGAAAGTTAAACACGACTACAATGGAACACTGGAAGGAATACAAAGGGAGATGTGGTCGTTGTTCAAAACAACAGATGGATGGATCATGGGAATGAGTCACATTGGCCAGTGGACAGAAGCATCAGAGCCATGATTAGGGTGGATATTGATAGCAAAGGCAAGCCAACTGCGTCGTACTTCTTCGGCCACTGACAGGTGCATACAATAACACGGGGACAAGGCAAAAGACAAAACGAGTCGCAGTGAGGCAGATGGATGGGCGGGCGGATACAACGATTCACAAGCCGACGAGATGCCAGCCAGCCAGACAGGCAGAGGGAGGGAAGTATTACAGAGTCAGGACGTACACGGTGCATCACGGGCAGTAAAGCAGCGTTTGCTGTCATGTCCATAAGTCACACTCCCCTGAGTTTTTTCCTCTCAAATGAAAATCGGACAATGTTTGTTCCCCTTCTGAGGTGTCAGAGGAGAGGGGAAAAAAATCCTCACATCCGTCTTTAAATAGCATCTGGTTCTATCACAGAAAAAAAAAAATGAAGGTGTAATACATCACTTTTATAACAGGATGGGGCCAAGATTGGGAGAATTACAAGACTACTTTTTATTTATTCAACAATTAGTTTTTCCATACTGCTTCGAGATGTTTGTTTTATAAGGTCAATGGTGAAGCTTGTTTGAATATAGCTCTCCCTCTCGGCAGTAGCTGAGCCTTCTGGCCGTGTGAAATTTTACATTCAGCCATTTTTCCAACCACCAAGCCCCGGAACTTTTCGTTCCTGGTAAAACAAAGGACCAGGCGATTTCCATTTCCGCTGCATCTCATAGTTGAGGGTAGTTTACACAAATCAGACAGATGATGTAAAGTGTTCGATTTTTGCTAGTAATCAGACGCTAAGAATACATCAGGAACGGGAAGACTCAGGAGGCAGGCACGGTTGTCTTTCTTGCAAGAGAGAGTGCGCTAAAACATGTCTCGGTTCACACTCTCGGAGCAGCTCTCCAGCTGGCTCTACCGTTACAGGTTCTGGGGCAACTCTGAAGAGACCGCATTTGTCTCCTTGCATTTATTGAAAGGATGTCCTTATTTCATGCCTTCCTTTTTTCTTGCATCCGAGTTTCCTCGCTTCCGTTTTTATCCTTGCTTCTTAGTTTCATTGCATCCTTGCTTCCTTGTTTCCCTGCTTCCTAGTTTTCTTGCTTCATTCCTTTCTTGAGCTCAAGTTTCCTTGCCTCCTACTTTCCTTGGTTCCTTGTTTCCTTCACATCCTAGTTTCCCTTTTTCCTTTCTTCCTAGTTTCATTGTGTCATTGCCTTCCTTGTTTTCCTTCTTCCCAGTTTCCTCGTTTCCACGCTTCCTTACTTCTTAGTTTCCTTGGGCCCTTGTTTCCTTCTTTCCTTGCTTCCTATTTTTTTTTTGTTTAATTGAATCTTTTATTGAATTAAAGGTTGATACCTTCAAATTGTTACGTTTTTTTGCATCATAGTTGAAGGCTAGGGTCATTAAAAGTAAAGCCATGTTGGCCAAGTTGAATAGCAAATACTCTTAAAACATAATTGTGGAAATTTGAAAACACTCATAGAAGCTGCTGGTCATTGCAGCCGGCAGCCTCATCCATCTTCTCAATGCTTCTTATTATTTGGTCTCAGTGTTGCTCACCCTGTAGATTTCACGGGTCTCTGCTTCTTATCAAGATCAATCCCATTCAACTTGATACAAGCTGAGCCTTTTTATTACCTCAATGAATTTGGGTGGCTAACGAGCAGGAAAAAAAAAAAAATAACGAAGCTAAGGCACGTGTGGTCGGCAGAGACCCGATGCAGCTGCAAACGTGACAAAATAAACCAGAGGAAGTGCTCCCCTATGCTCTCCTTTTGCTATTCATAAAACGGTCATGGCTGCATGCAAGCTTATCACCAGACGACATCATATTACTTTCAGAATTCATACGTTTTGGGACATTTTTATTCGGTGGTTCTGTGAAAATTTTCTGTTTTAAAATCTAGACCTCTGTTCAATAATGTTTGAGAAATGCTGCACTAAAGAGAGGAAAATATTCATCAAATTGTGTTTTCTACATGTAAATGTTTCTCTTATTTGTAAATACTCCCTCCGCTTTGCATAAAATCTATAACATTTCCCACTTTAGCATCCTGGTTGAGTTCAAAGGACTTTCGAGGCCAAAACGTTTGACATTTGTGTACTTTTTGTGCTGCTGGCCAGATTTCGTTCTGCGTCAAGTAGGTTTGACTGTTGCTTTGGCTTGTCTACTTTGATGGGGAGCGAAACACATCACAGGTGAGAAAAAGTTCAACCTGTCACCGAGTCGTTGAGCAGAAGTCGAACTTGTTTTCACATGTGTTTATTTGCCACATTTCTCTTTCTCGCTCTTCTATCTTTCATTCAATTTGTATCGCC